TGTCCATCGGGTCCCTTTGCTAGCTCACATAATTTTCTGTAACGATACGGTGTATTTCCTACACATTGGTAACTTGTGTTATTTCCGTAACGAGAGGTTCAAAGTTAATTCATGGGTGAATTAATTGATAAATTAATTCTAGATAAATTGGTTGAATTATTGTTTTAAGAGTTGTTTAATATGGGAAGACTATTATATGACTGTTTTGATAAGGCAATTTCTCTATTGGATTGCTTGAATCAAAACTGAGGCTCTATGCAAGTTTCCCGTGTTGAAAAACTAGGAAAACAACTTTCGTCAATGCAGACAGGTCGACCGGTTGGGTAGACCGGTCACAGGTCGACCGGTTCGTGAAGGATAGGTCGACCGGTGAGTTATAACGTCTCTTTCACCGGTCGACCGGTTGTAACGTAAAATGTATGCTGACGTGGCAAAATTGACTCTGGATGCGATTAAGAGTTTGGGAAACCTAATTATTACGGAAGTATGACTTCCTAAACACTATAAATAGCCTATTAAGTCACATTACTCATTAGATCACTTGAGAGACTTTTTGGAGGCTATTGATAAAAGATTCCTGAGATGAAAAATTGTTTAATTCTCAAGAATAATTTTTTCTTTGGCTCTCTTAGGCTTGGAATGAGATCAAGAATGCCAAGAGGAGATTGAACAACGTGTGCCCACCCGCACACCGATTGTGGAAACGAGAATAGCAAAGAAGACCCGTTGGTTGAGGCTCTTCTGATTGCTGTTTGGAACGCTTTGATCTGTCAGACGTGCAGTTTCCTGAATCTCAAAAGGTATGATTTAGATCTTTAGTATTTATGTTATATAGCATCATGAGCATATTTTTGGTTGGCTTTGACGTTGATTAAATTTTTTAAATTTTGTTGCGCACTCGATGCCATTATTTTCCAACAATTGGTATCAGAGACATGGTTATTTGTTCATGATTATGCTATGTACATAGATTTGTGATCTAAAAATATCTCTTTTATGCTTGAATTGATATTTAAGAGAGTTGGCACTATAGGGTTTCTATATTATGTTGTTATCATGAATATATGGTGAATGGATGATTAAATAATTATTATTGATTATTATTTATAAATTATCAATGTTTTTTGATTATTTAATATTTACTGGTTATGGTTCCTTAGAGTTTAGAATGGTTGTATAGGAATTTGTTCTTTACAATGTAATTAGATAGACGGCCTATCATCGCCGTTAGGGTTTATTTTATTTTCTTTAGTAGAAATTTTGTAAACCGGAAAACGGTATAG